GCTATTGCTAATTGTTGTTGTCTGAGAAGTCAACCTAAAGATAGACCTCATTTTGTTTATCTTTAAGTGTTTATTTGTATTGGTTAGTTCCGTTTGTTCGCCCATTTGCATTAATAATATCTTTCTTCGGCTATGCCCTACAAATGACCCAACGTAGTTTTGCTTTGGCAGGTTCCCATGCTCAGCTTATGTTCATGTTGTACTACATATATGCATGTATCTTGTTGTTGTCCGATCTCAGATCAAGTTTATCCAAAAAATAAATATATGCTACATGTGTGTCTGTGGTTCTCTAAGCATGTATCTCGTAGTATCAGCGGCATATTGCAATCTCTCTGACTGCTGTTTTGGGGCAGCCGTGGCACAAATTTAGCTGTTTAAAGGCATAAAGCTAAAGCGAGCTACTCAGATTTCTATCTCAGCTGCATGAACTTATGAAATGAGAATGCAATGTTTCAAAATATGTTTGGCGGGGCCTTGCCCTGGGAAAGTTGGTCCAGCTGCAGCAGAGCATCCTGCCCAGGCACTTGCAAAAGACTTTGCGCTACTTTTGCGCTCAATTTCAGGTGCACGCAAGCAACAACAACAACAGGAACAACAATCGCAGCATTTAACCCTTTTGCCAAAAAGTTTCGAGCGCAAAAATGAAAAACTTTTAAAGCGAAAATCAATGCGGGAACCCCGAAAAAGGCAGCTCACGTAGCAGCGCTTCCTATATACAAGCGCATATATTTCTCCCTCTGCTTGTCTGTGTGTGTGTGTGTGTGTGTGTGTTTGCTGTTTATGCGCAGCAGCTGTACAGAGGCAACACAAACTACACAAAGACTCAGACTCGAAAAGTTGAAGACGGCAGGCAACTTGCCAAGTTGTTCAACCACAAAAAATATGAGTTCGATATTAATAATTTGTATCTAGATAGTTTTTGTGGCAGCCAAAGATGCTGCTGCCCGACAAAAAAAAATAAGAAAAAAGAAACAAAAGCTGTGGCTGTGGAGGCCAAATCTTATGCTTATTAGCTATTTTACATACTTAAGTGTATGTGCGTGTGTGTGTGTGTGTGTGTGTGCACAGTTATATTCATAAACTTGGGCATAATTGTGTATTTATCTTAATTTCCAGCTGCTAATTTATGCAAATTTAGTTTTATGTGCGCTAAACATCAGCACACATACACAGACACCAAGACACACGCACACACACAGAGCGAGAGACACACGCACACCTACACTCAGACAGACTGTGCGTCTCACATGCATAACTCAAAATCGGCAGACAAATCTGCACACATGTTAAAGCCCATAAATAAACCACATAATCACAAACGGAACGATCGATGATTGTTGTCACTGTTTGACAGCCAGGCAATGGCAATGGTAAAAGGCAAAGGCAAAGGCAGCAAGCAGCAGGCAGCAGGCAGAAAGCAGTGGCCGAAACGCTGTGCCACAAAAAGAGTGAGAGGCAGTGGCAGAGAGAGAGAGTCGACAGACAAGCAAAGCCAAAGCCAAAGCCTCACCTGGCGCATGAGCGAGTCGACGTTGAAGCACCGTGCCAAGTGCAGAGCGCAGAGAGGCGTGCCACAGAGAGATTATTGAACGATGCACTCGAGCATGACGAGCCGCAGCAGCAGCAGCGACGGCCGCAACAACAACAACAACAACGAAGTGCCCTACACAAGCAAACAAACATGCAACTGCAATAACAACAACAGCAACAACAATAACAACAACAACAACAACCAGAGCCAAGCGAAACGAAACGCAAACCGGTTTACCTGCCCGCGTGCATAACAAACAAAAAACACGCCCCGCATGCAAGCCAAACAGTGACAAGCATATTGGCATTGACGGTAGTGCCGTCTCGCTTTGTTGCCTGGCCTGGCCGCCTGCAGCTGCGACCATCTTGTATGTGCCAAATGCCAAAGCCCGGCCCTCGTCAGACGAGTTTCACACACAAACGCGCGCACACACGCACACGCACACACACATACGCAGCGCGTGTCTCTGTCGCTGGCTTTCCTGTTTTGCGCTCGTGGTTCAGTTGGTCTGCGGCCGTTGAAGTGTTTGCTCGTGCCTCGTTCGCCCGTTCGCTCGTTTCGTTTATCGTTTTCGTGTGCTCGCACACTACGTATTACGTATACGTTGCGTGTCGCGTTTGCAACAGCAATAAACAGCAACTACGCTCTAACAACAACATCAAAAATTCGACATTAATAAACAGCGGCAAGCGACAACAAGCCCAGCTACAAAAATCGCGTCGGCAAAAGCGCGCAAAAATTTACCTAACAACAAATTAGTGCTAATTCAAACAAAACAAACCAGAAGAAAACATAAACAAAACAAATGTGTGACTAACAAATGTGTGCAAAATGTAAGAAAATGATGCAAATATTATTTTTATAAAAGAATACAGTTAAATGACAAGTGTTCAATCAAAACGCCAACAAGCTTGCAACTTTTGTGATTTTAACGCAGCTGCAACACAAGTTCTTATCAGCCTCAGTGCCACAATCAGCATTATTATTATAGATACATAACAATATAAACTTACAAAACATTAACAAGAAAAAAAACCAAAATATTTGACAGTTTGCTTATCAATTTATTGCTATCAATTTCAACATTTTAATGAAAAGTGTTTTCCCCAAAAACAACAACAACAAGAGAAACAACAATGTCATCGAGTGCAGCTATCTCTGCCTCTGATAAATTGATTGAGTTTTGGGTGCCCAGCAATTTTACAGTGAAACCTTAAACAATCGAAATCAAAAACTGAAAACAGTGCGCAGTGTTCATAGACGAAATTTATGTTGCCTTATCATCAGTTGCCTGGTTGTTTGTAGCGCAATTGTCAATTGTGTGATAGGCATCTAAGGCCCAACAACAACAGCAAGCCACAACAACCTGGACAGGTCTTGAGACAACAACAAGTTCTGCTGTCTTTTTATTATTAATAATTTTTGGTTGAAGCCAAAACAAACAGCAAAAACAACAACAACAACTATAAAAGTCAAAACAACCACATGAAATACAAACAAAAAGTAGTCAAAATAATTGATAAAAATCTGGCAAGAACTGAACAGACATACACAGCCAGATACAGCCAGCAGATACTATAGGGCACACACATAGAATGCCAGATAAGAATTTTTCAAAAATTGTCTATCTATATATATATATATACATTTGTGTCCAGCTACCTGTCTAAGCGAACGCGGCAATAGATACCTAGCATATTGATATACGCTGTGGACTCAATGATGCGACTGATAGCAACCCCCAGCCCCCAAAAACTCATCTAATTGGGCCTAGTCGAGCGTAGGATATAAACCGCATGTTTAGCGCTAATTGCCGGCCAGGTGAAGCTATTGCAGCACGTTTCCCCGCTTCAGGCAAGTGCACTCACTAGATCAGTTGCCGTCGGTGCCGAACGCCCACACAACAAGTTGTCGCTCTCGGAATACAGTTGTGGGCTCTAGCGCCAGAGCCAGGCCAAAGGCATTCACAATTGCAGCTTGCCTGCCTGCAATGCAGACAGTCTTAGGCTAGGTATGCAGCAAATCAATTTTGCACGCACAAAAGTTCTATTGTTCAAGGTAGTTGACTTCTTAAATGACAGCATTTGAACAACTTTGTAGAATACAACATAATTCTTAACTTGAAAACTTGAAATATGAGACAGTTCTTATCGTCTGTCGAAATGAAATTATTGAAATAAGTATGACGAATCAGATTGATATTTCTATTATAAATCATATGTAGTAAATTTCGTGATACAATTTTTTACCAAATTTATAGCAACTATTATTTGTAACATTTTTGGTTGGTATTTTTACTGCCTGATTAAAAAATAAATAGCTAAATATGTAAATACCTAGGAATTAAAAAAATACCCATCAATTTGCCTTTATCTTGTGATATATATGTATGTCAAGTCAGATCGGACGATATCTATATAAAAGATCTTAATACTAATAAAAATTGATGCAAATAAGTATTTTTTAGTTTCTTTGTTTGCTTAGATTTCCTGCCCAACAAATTAGTAAATAAAATTCTTTAATATAACTATTATAATCATTAACATTTAAATGGTCTTTTGCATTTATTAAATTAATATTGCTCGAAAAAATGGCTAAATAATAGCTGACAAATGCTTGCCATTTTTCCATCTTTTGCTATTCGCTTGCCTATTTTGCTTGAGCAGCATACCAGACATTGAAATTCACACAGCGTTGGGCACACAATTGACATGATTTGACATTGTTTGGGTTTATTAGACGAGTTGCACTGTAAACACCGACAAAACAATGCAGAACAATGGTCCAAAAATTGTTTGTGCCTCCTCAGAATGGGACATGTTTATTAGATCCCCCGGGAGGACTGCTGCAAAATATTGCGTCTGCCTTCTGTTTCTTTGTTCCATCCATCAAGTGTGTACAAAATGCAATACCCCGTTTCCCACACATTGGCTACGCATGTGGTCATCAAATTCTAATCAGGAACTGTTGGACCTGGACTATATATATATATATGTATACTATATATGCACCCAGTTATTGTTGTGGCTACCGCGTACTTGTAAATCAACTGGCCAGAGCTGATTGCCAACTGTACTGGCTGGCTATAAAAAGAAATTAGAAACCAAATATAAAATTGATTGAGGCTGATAAGAAAAAGGTGTGAAGCTGATAAGAAACGCAAGAGCTACCGTTGAAAATCATATCAATTGCGAGTGTCGAAGACAATCGAAAATAAGTTTTCAAGCAGTTCTTATTTAACCTCATTTACAGCCCACGCAGTGTTGCAAAGCGCGCGCATAAACATGTGTTGAGAAGCGTCTAAACATAAATATAAATAACGGCAATTATTCAACACGCTCGAGCTTAAGAGCAAGAGAGTGCAAAGCAGAAGCAGCAGCCGGAGCAGGAGCAGAAGCAGGAGCACAGAGATCTTGATTCTCTGTAGAATTTTGCGCGCCCCACGTACCACGTAAAAAACATTCAAAATTATACTCGAAATGGATATGACCTCAACAGCGGAGGCTGCCGCTCGCAGCTGGTACGACAGTCCGCGCTTAGGCGGCGGCGGCGGCGGTGGCGGCGGCGGTTCACCCCAAACAAATGGCCTGGGCAGCGCCGGCAGCAGCCTGGCCCATAGCCATCACAGCCTGTCCAGCGGCGCCTCATCGGCGGGCAGCAGCGTTGGTGCCGCTCTGGGCGGCGGTACTGGCGGCGCCGGCCTCGGACTGGATACCAGCGACATGAGCGCCTTCTATGCGCTCGAAAGCAATGGACACCATCGACGCTACTATCCCAGCTATCATCAGCACAGTAAGTAATAGAGAAACCCCCTCCCACTCCACCTCCAAACCAATTCTGATTCCAGGCTTATGTTTTATTTATTGTTTAAGTAATTTTAGTGGCGCACCGAGGCTACATTTGTCCTAATGTCATTTCTAATGCGTTTTTAATGAATGGGGGGTGGCTGTCATGCGTGTGTGAGTGTCAGTGTGTGGGTTGGCTCAGCCCACAAATCGATTGCTTCGCGCCTTCTTTTTTTGTTGTATTTATTTTTTTGTCGCACGTTTCCTGTTGGCTGTGCGCGCGGCACAGAAGGAGGGGCAACGGCGACAGGGGCAACATCCCTTAGCTGTACTTTGGTCTAACTGAATCTGTTTGCCCAACCCCTGGCATTGGGTTTTCCCTTAACAAACTGCTTTATTTTTGGCTGCCCCCAAATGTGATTTGAGTGTGTGTGTGTGTGTGTGTGTGGCAGCTTTAACGGGCCCTCACTTTAACTGTAAACAGCTCACTTACAGCTTGACAATTGTGGTGTAACTAGCCCAGACGTAGCGACTCCCAGACTTGGCGCACTTCAGATTTTCCCAGCTGCAGCTCCATGTTTTCTAATTGCGCGCAATTTGTTGCCACAAAAAGAAAACCCAAAAAAATAAAGAAAAACCGACTATTATTGGCACGGCGAAGATTAAATACCCTTGTGGGCATACGACTTACGATTGCATATAAGCGAGAAGCATTGTGAAGAAGGAGAGAGTGGAACTCGTAGTTGCTAAGCTTGATCAAGAAATGAAACAATTTGCTTATATGAATGGGAAAGGGCAGCTAATAATCGCCAAGTTTCGTTAAGATATTTTAACAAGAAACAAGTACTTAACGTCGAAAGATCATTTGTATGGCAGATATATATTGTAGAACTACGATCCGGCAAGTTCTGATATATTTGCTGATTGCAACATAAAATTGCAGGAGAAGAGCTTTAAAACTGATGAACTAGCTTGCATAGACAGGGCTTAAACGCCTCGACTGAATAAGAATATATATAACAAAATTTATGTCTGTTTTTATGCCTTACATATTTCATAACAAAATGATAAAGCCCTTTTAGAGTATACCAAAAATAGAAGCAAATTATCTATGCTCATTAGTGTTATGGCAGCAGCAGCAGCAACAACAACAACAACAGACAGCAGCAGCAGCAGCAGACGACAACAATTTCTAGATTCACACGCCTGCAACAACAACAAATTGCTCCGAAAATGTGAGCACTTTTTTGGGGCCAAAAAGTCAGGCAGAAATTTTGGGTTCCGCAAAGTTAATTTTCAATTTGAAAAAGTGGGTGCCACCGTTGCGGCGGCTCAGACGACGGCTGCGGCTGTTGCTGTCAGTTTTGACAGTTGACTGCCCGAAAATCCATTTTCACTTGGCACTTAGCATTGCGCTGCAGTTGCCATTGCCATTGTTATTGTTATTGTTAGTTGCTTTCATTGTCGTTGTTGTTGTTATTGTTGTAGCTGAGCGCAGCTTTTGCCTGCATTTTGACAGTTCCACGTAAAACGCGACGAGCGGGACAGAGGACGGACTTGTGACATGCATCGATGCGGCTGCCGTTGAATTTATTTCCTGCTACTCAAGTGTGCGAAAATTTTAATTTAAAATTTTTTTCTCTGTGCCGCGGAATGTGGAACGCGCGCACTGAAAGACAGCCCAAGCGGGTGGCTGCAAGTGATCAATCAGCTCTTTTGGCGAGCCACAGCCTCCTTAGCACCACAGCCCGATTGCCAGCCGACCGCCGCCCCGTTTGCATTTATGTTTAATTCATGTTATTCATATGCGGACTTTATTGATGCTTGATTTGATTTGATGGCAACGCGCAGGCACTGATCCGGCTGCTGTAATTCCATTCATGCACTCTAAAGCCCGCGCATTCAAATCGCGCGCTCTTTGTCTGCCATTTTTTGACAGACAGTTTGTCGGCTGGAGCAGCTCTTGCAGTTACTGCTGTGGCTGCGCCTGCGGCTGCTGTTGCTGTTGCTGGTGGAGATCTCGTTGGAGCACCTGTGGCGAGCGTTGATTTTAAAATTCATTAGTCTGCATGTGTCACATTTCGGATGAGTCCGTATGCCAGAGTTGTCAAAAAACGGAATTCCAACAGTAACTCAATTTAGCTGGCACATATGACTCTGCTGCTTAGCTCAAGCGATTAACATTTGGAGCAGCCAAAATAACAGCGCGTAGAGCGGGCTTAGGTGTGTGTGCGGACATGTGTGTGTGTGTGTGTGTGTGCGTAGGGGGCAGCCATTTACGCACACATATACAAGCATTTAGACGCCTGCCGTGTGTTTGAAAATGCAGTTTAATGGATTTTGACGCGCTCACTTAAACACAACACAAGCACAATACAAATACATCAAAAACACACACACACACATACACTCTCGGCGAACACACACACACTTGCAGATTTTTATGATACAAGCCATAAAAAACCGACAACAACAATAGCAACAAGCATGTGAAATTTAAATTTCAAAAGCAAACATGCCGAAAATTTGGCAATAACTTTTTTTTCTGATTTTTATTTACTTATTTATTTATTTTTTGTGTATTGTTTTGGCTCTGGCCGCGTATTTATTGTTGCTCATTTCTTATTTCTGGGTTGCTTTTTCGTTGAAAAAATCTGTATTTGAACATGTACATATATATGTATATGTATAATATAGTCTACAATATGGCCTCAACAAACTTTTATTTATTTTAGTTTATGTTTTTTGGTTTTTGGCAAACTTGGAAGTTTTATTTCGTATTGCCATTTGTTCTCTACACTAAAACGGGTCTCGTGCATTTGCCATCGAGTTTGTACTTATCTAATTTACTTATTGTGCATGTTTCAAACATTATAAAATGTAAGTTTTTTTTTTTTCATCAAGAGAATCATGTTAAATTCATAGAATAAATTTCTTCAAATTTATTTTATGGCGATTTTCCTAAATTTAGATTTTATTTTGATAATTTGATGTAATGAATGTGAATATATAGGATGCTTTATAAAAATTGTAGTCAGTTTTGGCAAATAGAAGAGTATCATGATAATTTTGTTATATATATATGAGAAAATTTTTTAACATCTTTCTATCCTTGTTTATTTTAAGCATGTTTTTGAACCCGTTTACTAGCAAGTCCATTGTATTATTTAATGAGATTGTCGATGAGATTTACTGTCCTATAGGATCCACATACACTTTATTAACTGAAAGTCCTAGGTTGCTAAGCATTTCATTTTATAATCGCAGCTCAATAAAGACTTTGGTAAAGATATGCTGAGCATCAAAAAATTCAATTTGAAGCCGATTATTCGTATAGATACTTTATGATTTTGTCATCTGATTCGATCTTATTTCCAATAGCGTTTTATAAATTGACATAAAAGGGTATTATGGCTTCGCTTCGAATGCAACAAGATAATTCGACCTCCTGCACGACTGCAATCATTTAAATGCACTTTTAATTAGCCAGAGACTGCAATAAATGCATTTTAAGCAAAACTACAAGCACACACACACATACACTTACACACACACACACACACACACACATACAAGCTAACGGTTTTTAGCCGTGCGTATTGCCATTGCACTCGCACATTTGCCTACACAATAATTGGGGCCAGAGTGTGGGATAGAATAGGTGAGCAGCAGTTCGGCTTTTTGACAATATTTTTCGTCGTGAATTTTCATTTGTTGTTGCAACTTTGTTGCTTATCGCGTTGACAAAATCAGGCAAATGAAAACTTTGGTAGTGCGCTGTGTGTGCGTGTGTATTTGAGTATGTGTGTCTTGTCTGCAGTTGAAAATATTCCCACACAACTCTTGACGCACTTAACGCAAATGTCACGCACAGTGGCAAAGTCACAAAAGGGATATCAAATAAATGCGGGCCCATTCAGCCAGGGATATCAAAGTCCATTTAAAGCCCAAAGCAATGCCAATGCAATTTGCGCTGCCGCTCGCCAGAGCCTTTGGGGGCTGATGCAAAGTGAAGGCTGGGCCGCTTCCTGGCTGGCAGGCTACCAGGTGTTGCACTTGGTCAGCCATAGTCTCATAAATTTCGCGCTGGCCCAAGTTGTGGTGCGCGCATAAAACAGAAATTTCCAAGAAATTACAACACGGCCAACACAAAAGCACAAAAGCCATAGACATAGACCAGGGCCCCAACAGGCTGCAGGCAGGCCAACACGGCACAGCAACAGCACCAGACAGTCGGGCACGGCACCACAACAAATGTGTGTGTGTGTTTGGTTGTAATAGTTGTTGTAATTTACTGACTGCGACGTCGAGCTGACTGAGCCTGGGCATGGCCGAATCTCGGGCCGCAAATCTTAATCCCGGTGCGCAAGTTTTCAGCGAACTGGGCACTGGGAGCGTGGCGGCGGCCTATAAAAATGAGTTATGGTATTGCAATTGAACAGCTGGGCCACCGCTGCGTATGATTGATGTGACTTTAAATGCGCTTCGCCCAGCTTGTGTGTGCGTGAGCGTGTCTGTGTGTGCATCTGTGACAATTTTCAAAGGTATTACAAACCTTGAGCTTGCTTATTGAAACTCTTGCTGCTGCAGTTGCTGCTGCAGTTGCCCTCTCAATTCGCTTTGATTAAAATGTCTTGAAATCATGCCACATTAATTATGACCCAAATTCTTGGAAGCATTCTTTGCATCGTATGATGCAGCGGCAAGCTGTTTGTTGTTGTGCCTGATTGCTATTGTAGCTGTTGCTGTTGCTGTTCCTGCTGTTGTTGTTGTTGCTACTGCTGTTGTTGCATATTGTTTATTGCATTCGACAGTGGCCGGTCATTCATATGGCGCACCGCCCGCGTTGCACATGTTGTTGCTGCTGCTGCCGCTGCGGCTGCTGCTGGCGCGATGTTTTAATTAGTCGTGGCAACGGCAAACTGTCTTTGCTTAATTAAATGACATAATTATAAGAATGTGCCTGCCACAACAGGCCCCCAAAGCCCGACTTTGAATTCAACTTTA